CCTAAAACAGATTCAATCTCTTCGGCAGTTCTGGGAATAGGGAATTTCTTCATTGTTTCAATATATTTCAGGTCCCAGAAATTCAACAGATTTGCCCAAAAATTCGCATTTGTTTAATTAAATTTTTAACCCTGCTTCCTTAAGCTTCTGAAACACTTTTCTAATATTAGATATGTGTTCCTGGAGGCTGCTGGAAAAGATAATTATGTCATCCATATAAGGGTATTTCTCAGCAAATTTCAAAATTCATGTCCTGAGCCATTGATGCTACGCTGCATGGATTTATCATCAATTTAACATTTTTATTATATCAATAAGTATCTACACTAATATTTCAAAAGCAAAAATTTAGATAATATATTGACACAAAAAAATACGATTAATTTATTAGTCTAAAAGTCATTCCCTCATCTCGTCGCTGGGTCTGAAATTAATAATAAAAAGATATATACAACCAAATCTGTTCATATTCTTATATAAATTGAATATTACTAAAATATTTGGTAAGAAGTATGGATTGTATAGTCAAGCTTTCATTGTTGAATATGTACATAAAAAATCTATTCAAACTGTGTCCCTTGAAATGAAATCACCCATTATAAATATTCAATTTGTGGTCACACCATTTGATATTTTTGAACGCAGCTGTTATGTTTTCAAAACTTGGCAATACTGCTAATAATGTCAACATGGCGGAATTTCTTAATAGTGAAAAGAGTTGCTGCAAAAAAAGTATTGGATTTCAATAATTAGAGCATTACATTTCTCTGTATCCGTAGCTGTTTATATTAAAGGGTTACTGTTCGAATGTTTCAATGATTTTTTTCTTGTTTTGGGGAGTAAAATCCATTCACAAAAAGGTAAATCAATTTGAGGTGATGTACTGTTGGTTACGGTGTTGTTTATGCAAATCCGTCATTCCCTCACTATATTAGAAAGTGAGGCAATGAAAATTATATGAGGGAATGATTTTTGAATATATAAAATTGTGGTTTGGGTGTTATTGTTTAACTCCAGGTTGTATAGCATGTTTTTTTTGGAATTTTAACAGATATCCTTATATCAACAATGGGGAAAATGAAGAAGTTAAGTGAAGAAGAAAGAAATTAAAAAAGAAGTACGACAGAAAGAGGCGAGAACAAATGAAAATTAATGCTGGGTCTTTAGAAGCTTTGCGTGGAAAAGAAAGATTAAAGTATTTAAAGAAGAAGTTAAGCAAGTTCTATGAGCGCAAGGGAGACTAGCCAAAAACGAAAACAATGGAAAAAGAGTAGTAAAGTTTATAGGGAAAAGCGAGTTACATTACAAACAAATTTACAGAGAAAAGTTGAAGAAACACCCCCACCAAGACCTGCACCATCTTTACAGCACAGAGCACAGAATTTGACTGCTCTCAATAAACATAGAATGCGCAAGCGGCGAACTATTCTGTGCGCGAAGATTAAAAGTTTGGAAAATAAAGTAAGGAACGCTGTCAAGCTTAGCGAAAAATATAAGAAGAGGTGTTTGAGATTGAAAACTAAAAATACTGACCCAAACTGTCCAGCAACTAAAGTGTCTTCGCTTTTAAAGAATATACAAGTTCCTGACGTTGTAAGAAAAAGACTCATTTTCGGAGAAGCACTGTCAACGGACCTCAAGAATATCTATGAAGATCTTGGAAGAAAACATGGGGAAAAGAAAAAATATTACAAAATGTTGAAGCTGCAATTAGTACAAAAGATACAAATTGCTATATAGATCGAAACATTTTTTTAAAAACGATACTTACAAAAAGAACTTTACTCGTAAAGTTAGCTCCAAAATGCTGAAAGTTAAGGGTGATGTTGTTCATTTCTTAGAGAAGGATGAAAATACGAGGATGTGACCAGGAAAGAAGGACTATCTAAGCTCTGTAAAGTATAAAACAAATCTCAATACATCTATTAATAAATTAACTTATGTTTTTTATTGAAATTCAGCATCAAATGGTTGTAAAAATCATTCCCCGATCCTATCAGTCATTCCCTCATTTCATAGTTTTTAAAAGTCATTTTTTCTACCTGTTATACACAAAAATATGAAGGACCTTCATTTCCAATGAACCTCACTAAAGTAAAACTTTATATTTATATTAACGACATATTTTCATTATTTTTTTAAGAAGTGCATAATGAAATTTCTAAATTTGTTGAGAAATACCCATAAGTAAGACATACTTTTCATTGAAGGTCTTTTAGTACATCGTCCATTACTCTTTGGAATGTACTAGAGGTATTTTTTAAACCGACATTAAAAGCTGTTTGAGGGATTGAGTCGGGACGAAGTTCAATTTGATGGAAACCGGAGGCGGGGTCAAGGGTTCTGAAATAGTTGCAACGTCGAAGTTTGTCGAGAAAGTCAGTGATGTTGAGAAGGCGATAGCGGTCATCTATGGTTTTTTCAAGTTTTCTGTAGTCGACAACAATTTTCCATTTCCACTAGCATCGATTTTCTTTGGGACAATCCATATGGGGGAGCTCCATGGACATTGACTTGTTAGAATAATGCCATCGTTAACCATTTTTTCGATTTGCCTGGACACTTCCTGTTTGTGGACATAGGGGGATCTATATGACTTGGTAGGAATGGAAATGTCGTCGGAGGTTTTAATCTGATGCTTGACTTTATTAGTGAAGGTGAGGGGGCAGTATCCGGAATGGAAAATGCTGGAAAATTCTGTATAACTTTTCGTAATGCTTGTTTTTCCTCCGAGTTTAAATGTTGAGTTTGAAGAGCATCGAAAGAAACAGGAGACGAAATGTTAGGAGTGGCTTTACTTGGATGATTTTCTATGGAAAAAAGTTCGTAATCGTTTTGATTAAAAATGGTTCCAAAATTTTGGAAGAAGTTCTAATCTGAGACGAAAATTTGAGAATAGTCGGTATTATTTTTGATATCTAAGGTGGCTTTCCGATCCTTGACTTTGGTTATACAACTGGGAAATTCAACTTCGCCATTCTTTAAAGAACAGAATCTAAAATAATTTCTGTACCTTCTGGAACTTTTAATTTCTTTTGCGATAATAGATCTGGGAAGAATTTCTATTTTCTGAGTTTCGAAATCGCTTGTAAACTAAAATGGAATTTGAAGTGAGGTACTTCTAAGCAACTGATTTTCGAGATCTACAGTTAATCCTAGTTCTCTCAAATCAGGAATTCCAATAATTCCGTCAAAATATTCATGAAATGGGAAAAGAATAAATTCGAATTCATCAAGAATACCTAGTTCTTCGAGTAGAGAAATTGAAGCTTTGAATTGACTGGTTTTTGTGCCAGCGCAAGTGGATATTTAAATGAAAAATTGGGAAAAACTTTTCTGCAATATAAGGTCTAAGAAGTGAACCGTGACAACCTGTGTCTATAAGTAACTTTACTGGGATTTCTTTGAGTTGAGCATATGAAAGGGAGTTGGCTTAATTAATGTTGTTTAGGTCTATCTGAAATCTGTCACAGGATCGGCTTCTCGAAAATATATATAAATAATATTGTGGAGTATAATCTGATGAAAGAGCTTCGGGTTGTTCTGGGTGATAAAGCTCTTGTGAAACAAATTTACGGGGTCCGGATGACCTGAAATAATTATTCTTATTCTGTCTATTTGATTGATTGATTGTCTTGAAGATATGTCCATCGGTACTGAACTGTGTATGAGTTTATGAAAATTCTTAAGATGAAGAACGTTTGTTGAACATTGGGACTGAGGTGGTTCGAATACCTGTTTGTTTTTTTTTTATTGGCATTAGAACTAAGAGTTCATGCAGCCAGTCACTAGGTTTCTTATACATATGTATTTCTAACACATTGACGCCACAACATCCATGGCTTCGGAATGTGATTTCCGAAGGCGAGATTCGAACTCGCGGCCCGGCCGGCCGGCTGATCAGTAGCACGACACTCTGACCCACCCGACCAACCGAGGTCCCTCTGTCTGTTTGTTGGGAAGTGTTGTTTAATTGGAATGAGTTTTGGTAATGGAATAGGATGAAAAGGAAATTGTTATCCATTTTCATTGGAAAGAGGTTGATGTGGTTGAGGAAAATGACTTTGTGGAAAAAATTGCGTGTGAAATTCTTGAGAAGGAATTTGATGATGTACAGTTGGTGTTTTTTTATAGCTATGCTGTGGATTAAGATACGTGGGATTAGGTGAGTATATGAAAGAGTCTTTGAGACGGATAATGATTTTGATGTGACGGGTTATTATAATTACTGTTGTTGAATATCTAACAAAAGTCTAAGTCTATCGTCACAGTTCGCGGTCAATACGTTGACTGCATTCAATATGTTTTGGCTAATGAGTAGGACCTTTTGGTCAGGACTAAGGGAAGGATCGGTTTGGATTTTCACTTCAACTCTGGATTTTATTAACTTCAACCTTTCTAGAAATTCTAAAATAGTTTCATTCCTAAATTTTGTGATTGCAAAAATTCTCTAGTGAGAGTTTGCCTGTCGATTTTGTCGCGAAAATGCTCTCTGAGAGCATTCTCAATTTGGGGCCAAGTAGTGATGTCTGGTCTACACATCAAAAGTTGTAAACAAATAAATTTGTGATAGTATCCAAAGCTGAGTTAGAATCTTGCATAAAAGTATATAATGTGGGTGTATGAGAAAATTAAAAATAAAGTTGTGGGCCTATTAAAGTTCGTAAAAAATGTGAAAATGTCAAAAATATGAAACTAATCAATACATAAAAATGTAATGCAATTTGATGTATGTGTATTTATGAGTAAAATTCATCTAAGCCTTATAAGTATACAAAAAGTTACTTGAAATTATTTTTAATCTAGATCGAAACTGTAGCTTTCGAGAAGTGTACCTATATTATGTTTCTTGCAAAAATGTAGCTTTTGAACAAGAAACTGACTCATACTAAATATTATGGGCAATCTTCAGCAAAATTAAATTTTACAAACATGCACCAAAAAAACTTAATTTAAAAAAAGGGTGGGAGAAAAGGCAAGGAAAATTCGACTTGAATTACCTTCAGACTGCACTCTGGTGTCAATCTTTGTTTTTGGGATGGTCCTGGTTTTCCTGGTCTTTGTCGGATTCAGAAGTAGATGATTGAGATCAACCTGGAAGTTCTCGTCTGAGTTCTGATCCAGTCTTCTGATCTTACTGACTGCGCCAATTTAGGTATCGCGTCGCGAGTTCGCGTTTTTAAAAAACGTTTTTCAGGTGATTTGATACACTTCATTCACTTAAAGTACAAGTATCATTTCAGGTAACAATGGTTTTTGTTACCAAACCTAAGACTATGTGAGCTTACAAGCATTGACTAATAGATGTAACCTAAAGTAATAGCTGATGTAAACTTATGACTAAAGGGCACAAGCAAGAATTTATAATATGGGGTAGATAAAATATAAGTACACAAATTAGGGAGATATACAAGGGGCTCTTATTATATAACTTATAGGTGTTCACATAGAGGAGAGAACTCGACTTTATTTGCTGATGACCTAGTGGTTCTAGCTAGTGGTAGACTTATCATACTGATAATAGAAGCTGTGAATGTGGTTAAATAATATTTCCTATAAAGAAATTATTGCCTGGCTAAGGTGGCTTAGGATTGGTTTCTTCAGATGGCATTGTAGTATACCAATAATAGGTGATTAGGATTGACATCACAATTACCAAAGTGATGTCAACATAACTCATGCAAGCTTAGCTTTACATGTGCCTTATATGTAATTTAAGACTTAAAAGATTTATACTTACAGCAATACACAAACGGTTCAAAACTAACTTGGGGCCCATAGCATAATTTATTATAGATTCTAATATTCTTTTTTTCAGAAATTCATAGTGATCCTCTGGTACTTCATTCCAATGCTTCATTAGCTTTGTATGTAAAGTTGTAGCAGCAAAAAACTGCACTTCTGAGCTCTAGAATTAACCAGTAATTCAATTTAGGCATAACTGGGCGATATAATACCTTACTTTGAGGGGGCTAAGTAATTCCCATACAAAGCTCCATGCCTGGGGAGAATTTTGAGCTTCTGTTAACCACTGATGGGCCTCCGCTTGCTGATGAGCCTCAGATCTATAAAACAAGGTCACTGCTTTTACTAAGTTCTCTGCATTGTATTCCATTATTTCTGCCACAGTAACAGTGTTATTGTAAACGTGTAAAATCTTAATATCCTAATATTTTCATCATTTCATCCCAAATGTTCTCAAAATTTCTATTTTGACATTTGAATCACAAAATACATAAGACCACAAAACATATACACTGAAGAAGGTTTATGCGGGTCCCACACGATGCTTCCACCGTTGTATACAACGTTGTTTACAACGTTCCACAATTGGCAAGTGTGTCTCCTACACGATGGGATGAACTTTTTAGTCTTGGACGTTCGACGCATGGTGGCGCCAACGTCAATTATCGGTGTCAGTGTCACGCTTGAACCTTTACAACTGAAGGAAAAATTGTACAAAATGAACGAAGAAACAATTTTTTCAAGCGCCGAAAAATAATTTCAGATCTGTTTTCAGCGACCAAAAAATAAGTTTGTCAGAAGCATCAGAATTGTCGAAAAATGAGGTTTGACCGTTTTTTGTTTGTTTTTCGACGATAACTCCGCCGCTACTGTACCGAGCTTTTCCGTCATTTTAATAGTAGTACCGTAAGGTCAAAATTTCATCAAAATTCTGATAGCACTTTCAGAGTTATCATTTATTAATCGTTTTCGTTAGTTATGAAATGCAAGTCAAAATATTTCTCAACTAGTCTTGCATTGCAACAGGACATTATACTGAAACAAGTGTAAGCATTTGATAATTTGACTCACCTGCGAAACGTACAAAATATTAGCAATATGAGAAAAGTGTTGTTGTGGCAGCCTAAGCTTTGTATGTATACTAATTTAATTCATTCTCCTCAAAAGTTAGTTATGGAATATACATTATTATGAATATATATATACCGTCGATTGGGGTGACATTGATCTCAAGGGGCGAGTTTGATCACCAGATCATTTTCTCCAAAAGTTTGAGTTTAGCGCCAGAACTAGCGAACCACTCACAGCGAAAGATGGTGCGTGCATCAGACGAAACATGGCCGCAGATACAGTATGCGTGCAAGCTAGCGGTGCCGCTTACTTAATGTGAAAAATCAGTAATCAAATTCAAGCGGATAACCAAATGGAAATGGTATTTACCATTTTGGCTTGGTATTTACCAATCCGTTCAAGCGATTGTAGTTATCAGTTTGGTTATAAGATCCGTGACGTCACGAATCAGCTGTTATATGTCATAGTTATCACCGCAAAATTGTGGTATTTACCCAACTCAAGAGTAGTTTTATATTTCTGGTTATTATTTGAAATGTGACAAGTTAGAATTTTGCCGGGTATTGGATATTGTTATTGTACTTCAGCTTCATTTTTGAGAAAATTGATACAGGCTGACTTTAGTTTTACCATAATGTGGAGCACCTTATTAGTTATACTCATTACGGTTGTTGGGGACACTTTAAATGTAGTTCCTATACTTAACAAAGTATCCTGTGTAGCCATAAACCACAAGAATATTAAAATATGGCCATATAAACTCACTAGATGATATCCACCTGTATACGGTTTTGCTAATTTCTTTTATCATCATTTCTGCTGAATCAATAAATGTTTTCTTTGACATGCGGAAAAATTTAGAGAATTGAAAGTTATCATAGCTACAAAGCCATGGTTCCATCATTAAAAAAAAAATCTGAAAAAAACATGTCTCCCATGAATATTATGAAAGGTTTCTTATTTAAACTTTCCATATACAGTTGTAGACGAAAAAGCACCGATTATTAAGTGATAATAAAAATAATCAGAGATTATATACGCGCTTTTCTAAAATAAACAACTTGCAACAAAACCGCGGTTAAAACCAACGCGTTCAAGCGATTCGAGTAACTGACGTCACCATCCCGTGTGTCATCTTGAACCATATTATAACCGCGGTACATAATACGGAAATTTTGGTTATCCGCTTGGATTTGATTAGTGTTTTTGAAGGTGTCGGTTTTGGGCATCGACTTTAAAACGAGGATAGACCCCTTTGCTTACATTTCTGGTTGTTGACGACATATACAAAGCGAATCGACACGTTGCCTCGCCGCAAGAAACGGCAGCAAAACAACGGATTTGTTCGTGGTCGTTCTACACATTTTCAAACCTCCAGTAACTAAAATTATTCCCTGTTTATCTTGATTTTTCAGCGCATGTGTGGGTACTAAACATCATGATTCTCGTACAATGGATTGATATCAAAATAGTCAAACAAGTAAGAACCTTACATAAATTATACCATAATCGACTTGAAGATCTGGCAACGTTGCTTTTATCTGCTCATTCATAATTTATCCACATCGTAAGAAAATAGTATATTGGTAGCACTTATTTAAGTTACTAAACAACTGCCATTTTGTGTCAATTGTCAAAGTTTGTTTTGATAGTGAATTTCCTTGCTGCTTTTATTCATTTTAGAGAGACTATAAAGGTATATTCAATCGCAATAAAATGGTGCAGCAGTGCTATTTGTGTAAAATTTATAAACATCAGGCTGGAGCGGAATCTTTAAAATTTAATTCGTAAGTATACATCTTGTTTATGTTCAGAGGCGTATCATGGCGTCTTATTATCGAGAAACTTGTTGATAGCTTTCGATTTATAACTGTAATATTCGAAATTCTAGCCTTCCCAAGAACCCGGAAAGGAGAAAAAGGTGGTTGTCGGCCTTTGGATTCGAGGAAAAGCATCAATTTCCTAAGAGGGTTATGTTCCAAGCGTTTTGGAGAAAATGCGTTTGTTTATGGAAGTGAGGGACAAAAGACACTCAAGCGGGATGTGATTCCTCTCATCTCTCATTCTTTGTTTGATCCTGCAGTAAGCACCAGGTAAACTCTTAATACATAATAGACTAGTTTTTCTAATACAGTAAACAAAAAAGAATAGTTGTATTTAATAATATTTAACAACCACTCATTTTGATTCTGATTCTATCTGCTGTTTAACTTTTCATATAAGATGTTTCTGATCTAGGTATTTCCTAACTTAACTGTTATGGATTTAGGTAAATTTAGCTATAATTAGTGTTATATTTTGGCAATTTCACAGATAATAGACAGATATAAGACATACTCTATAATCTATCAGCAATCAAGAAGAGCTAACATAGTATCTGCATCTTATGAGCTGAAATGAAGATGATGCTTATATCTTACATTACATTGCTATGAAAACAGTGACAGTACATTTGATTGATTTGGTTTGTTCAAATCACAATGCATTAAACTGAGTTGCTCATACTTTGATTAAAACTATAGTTCCTTTTGATTTTTTGTGTATTTTTTATATATGTGCATTGATTTTTATAACTCATACTATTATTTAGTGTTTAATTTCATGAAGTATTTCTATGCATTAGTATCTCACTATGTAGAAGTCCCTAATTTGGTTTTGTATATATATGCTTTATTCTAGTTCAGAATCATCTGTAAGTCCAGAGAAGCAAGAAGACTCAGATTGTAGTACTATATCTGCCATTTCAATCACTTGTGAGGGGACTCCTGCTAAAAAAAGGTAAGTTTAATTTATATTCTCTATCATGTTATTTTGTAGTATATTGAAATTTCTATGAAATTGAACATTTCTGAAGTCCTACATCCATATGGAAGCATTTTATATTTGCTGAATTGATATCGTAGATGGAAAAAATACCACCATTGTAGGTTCAAGTACAACAAGAAGGTATTCAGGAAATTATCTAGGGTTTTGTAATGATTTAAATAGAGCTTACCTCAAGCTGTACCATAAAAAAGATGATGAAGTTGAAACTCATTCATTTTGATATATGCCTTAATATAACCCTTACTAAATGTTTGATACGTCCTAATCAGCAGTATTCTATTGTATTCAACCTTTGCAATTCTTGTAACATAGATTTTATTTTGGTGTACTTATTTTTATTCAATATTATTGTCATAGCTTTATTTTGCAAGATAATTTTGAGAATACAGCTTCATTGGCAGTGAACGAGATAGTTGAACAGTATAGTAAATGCGGTAAAATAATTTTTTTTTTTGCTTTAGGACCTAATCCATGCAGCCAGAAACTAGGTTGTTATATTTTACATTTCTTATTATGGACAAACACACGACGTCACAACATCCATGGCCAAGGCGAGATTCGAACTCGCGGCCCGGCCGACCGGCTGATCAGTAGCACGACACTCTGACCCACGCGGCCAACCGAGGTCCCCGGTAAAATAATTGTATTATGAACTATTTTCTAGGAATAGGTACCAAAACTATGAGAAGCTCTATAAAAGTAATTTGTTTTTTTTATTGGCAATTTTTGAAATAATGTATTCATAGTGATCCTCAAACTTTAGTTTACTATCAATATATATACCTAAATATTTAATTGATGCAACATTTTCAATTATTTCTCCATTTATCCTAACTGTGATAGTATTTTCATTTAGGTATTTCCCTATTAGCATACATTTTGTTTTAGAAGTATTCAATTTTAGTTTATTTACATTTAACCAATTTACGATTTTTGCCAAGTCAGAATTTAGCATTTTTAAAGTGTCTATATTTTCATCTGATATGTATATTAATGTATCATCTGCAAATATCTGAAGTTTACAATAATCTAAAATATTACAAATGTCATTAATGTATAAAATAAATAGTAGTGGACCTAGTTTACTACCTCGTGGTATACCAAAAGAAATATTCTTTGATATTGATCATGTAGATCCAATTTTGGTTTTTTGACTTCTGTCAATTAAATAGTTTTGTGGAATTTTTAATACAGATCCTTTAAACCCGTAGTGATGCAATTTTGTAAGTAATTTATCCCTCTCAATAGCCAAACTCCCTTTTGAAGTTCAAAAAACACTGTTACTGTATGTTTCCGATTGTCTATACATCTCCTCCAGTCCTCTAAAACCATTTGTGTCCTGAATCCAGCTTGAAATTTGGTTAAAATGTTACTTCTCTCAATAAATTCGATGATCTGTTCGTAAATAATTTCTTCAAAAACTTTTTCAACATCTGGCAGAACATTTATTGGCTGCATATTGGTGTATTGTAAGTTAATTTTTCATCCTGTAATACATAATACTGCAACATACAGAATGATTGGTTTACAGTTTAATAGGTGGTAAGAGGATTAATAACGTTTGTTTTAGTTTTTAGATAGCCTAGGTTTGTCTTATATTCAAAACTTTGTTCTTATATGACTGCTACTATTTTGGTTATAATTATTATATGTCTATTTAATATGTGTACCCAATATGTTTTCATAGTAACACATAAAAATTATATCAAAAGTGATAAACTGCTCGATATATACATTTCAGCTGTTACTTGGTGTATTTTTATGAATGAAGATATGAAAATGAGCTATGTGATTATATTAAAACTTATTTGGGGTCTCGATAATCATTCCATGTTCCCTGATTTGTTACATTTTGCAATATATATATATATATATATATATATATATATATAAATATATATGAATAAAAATAGAACATAATAACTTGGAGTTTCTATTTTAAAGGCTTTTGTATCCTGCCCACTCAATAGAGTTCACGTAAGTATTCCAATTGAACTAGATATTGCACAAATATGAGTAATATATTTGTTAGTACACAACTTCGTACCGTTTTTTTTTGTGATGCTCTTGATTTAAATACGCTTATTTTGTCACCCTTATACGTATTGTATGCTACGCCTATGTGTAATTGTACCAATGATTATACATAGAGTCTTCAGTGACCTGAGGTTTCACAACCTGAATTCTCATGCGGCGGCCATTTTATTGTTCCCCTCTCATTCCCTCATAGCCCCTCGCCACCACTTTGTGCTTTGTTTATGTCGTCAACGAATCTAATGTAGTTTTATGAATGACTTGCTGGGTCTATCCTTGTTTCAAAGTCGATGGTTTTGGGGCATGGAGTAACTATCTGGAAATTTGCCAGGTAAGTTAAAGTGCTGATCTCTATTTTTGTTTACGTCATACTAGGCATGTTTGTTGATATTTTGAGGTTATGGTGTAGTCGAGCGGAAATGAACAGTGCAGTGCTTTTCATAATATTGAGATATTTAATGGGTGGGGTCAGATTGTTCGCCTAGACGGGGCGAGATTGATCAATTTTCAGTGATCAATCACATCCCATCTAACAATATATGTACATTTATTTTTGTATTGTTAATGGAATTATGATTAGATTTAGCTATAATTTTATTGTTTCTTACAGTTGAAGGGTCCTAATCATGCCGAGGAATTATAAAAGAACACTTGGATCACGCCGTTATGTGGATTATGCCCCAGAGACCCTAGAAGCTGCTCTCAAAAAGGTGGTAGAAGATGGATGGTCCCTCCGTCAAGCATCGGCTGCACATAATATCCTTTTGGCACCCTTCGAAATAAGTTTATGGGAATCAGAATTCTGAAACCTGGAGGTCTAACAGTTCTTTCAGCTGCCGAAGAACATCCCTTCGTAAAAGCAGTAAATATCTGCTCAGATTGGGGGTTCCCACTCACGCATACTGGTTTGCGCTATATAGCTAAAATCTATCTGGATAGTCGGGGTCAGATTATTGGGAAGTTTAGAGCAAACATGCCTGGAACAGATTGGGCTCGTTCTTTTTTACAACGGCATAAGAAAGATATTAGCCAAAAAGTTGCATCGAACATCAAGTGAGCTCGGGCTAATGTTTCAAGGGAAGATATCTTCCAATATTTCGAAAATTTGAGTGAAACATTAAAGGATGTCCCAGCTTGTAATATATTCAACTACGATGAAACAAATGTGCAGGATGATTCCGGAAAACAAAAGATGCTGTTTCGGCGTGGTACAAAATACCCTGAAAGGATATGCAACTTTACCAAAACTGCTACTACCATAATGATGTGCGGGTCGGCTTCTGGTGTGCTGCTTCCACCATACGTTATACAGGATGACTTTGAAGTTGAGTCATTAATTGTATCAGATTCGATCATTATAGCGGAAAAGAAAATAATACGAAAAATTTGAATATTTTGATCAATTTCCCCCCAAATGACGGTACATATATATACTTCGAAGTTGAGTCATTTATTTTAACAGTGAGTAGATCTGATCAAAAGAAATGTTTTTTTCCTATAACATTTTTCTGGTAAAATTAAAGTAACGAAGTTATAGCCCTTTAGAGGTTTGAGTACCGCCCTGTCTCAATAATAATATTATGTGCTCGTGCTTGGCAACAACTGATATAATCCGCCTTATCGGTTCATTGCATCGGAAACAAAAAAGCGAAAGAATTTGAAACATTTATCACGATGTTTTTACTCAATTTCATTCAGTCGTATTCAGTCAATGTGTCAGTCGGTAACGCGTGAGTGAATAGTGGTGTTTGTTGCGTGGCTCAAACGAAATAAAAAATGGCACATGTTTACGAAAATGCTGAACTTGTGGACATGATTCTTATTTACGGTGGAGTCTTAACAAAATGCTGCCGCGGCATCACGCATTTATGCGAATCGGTTTCCCAATGGAGTGCAGCCAACTCCTCGTGCCTTTGTTAATGTAGTACAAAGGGCTCGTGAATCAGGTGACTTAAGACCTCACAGGGGAGCGCATGCCGGTGCTCCAAGACCGCACGATCAAATACAGGTCCGCACTGAAATACTTGTCGGGAGGATACTTTATAAAACAAGGTAACATTTTTTTTATTTTTTTTTATTTTTACACACATATTTTGGTTTATCTTCCTTCTACAATCATTATCTGAAAATTAATGACTCAACTTCAAAGTCGACGTGTATACAGAGTGTTTCAGTTTATTGTTGCATAACTTTAAGATTCGATAGAACTTTTAAAATTAATGCATAAAGTCTATATAAACATGGGTCGAAAAATGCGCGGCTTCCGAAATACAGGGTGTTTAAATTTACTTTCTAAAATAGTTTTTTTTTTTAATATTTCGAACAATATTTGATGTATAACAGTGAAAATTGGTATACAAGGGTTTTTTGGTACGACAAAACGAACCATATGCATAGTTTTACTGCAGCCGCTAGAGGGCGCTCTCTACTGTACCTGTAGTGTATTAAAATGACCGAAAAATTTTTTTAGCGCAATTTTTGCTTTTTGAATAAAAAAACTGATTCTTCGCACTTTTCAACATAAAAAAGCTCTCTTGTGAATTTTCGTTATAGTTAGCCTTTTTTGAGATATTTCTATTTTCAACGTTCGATGCATTTTTAATTATTTATGATAAAATAACGTTAAAAAGTCAGTATCTCGGCTAACTATAACGAAAACTCACAGGAGAGCTTTTTTATGTTGAAAAGTGCGAACAATCAGTTTTTTTATTCAAAAAGCAAAAAATTGCACTAAGAAAAATTTTTCGGTCATTTTAATACAGGTACAGTAGAGAGCGCCCTCTAGCGGCTATAGTAAAACTATGCCCATGGTTCGTTTTGTCGTACCAAAAAACCCTTGTATACCAATTTTCGCTGTTATACATCAAATATTGTTCGAAATATTTAAAAAAAATTATTTTAGAAAGTAAATTTAAACAACCTGTATTTCGGAAGCCATACATTTTTCGACTCATGTTTATATAGACTTTATGCATTAATTTTAAAAGTTCTATCGAATCTTAAAGTTATGGAACAATAAACTGAAACACCCTGTATATACAGGGTGTCTCGAAATAAGTGTGCAATATTCTACCAGCGGTTTCTAGAGCTTAAAATAGGAAGAAAAGTTTATATAAATATAGATCGGCAAAGTCCCCTAATGGCGCTACGGTCTTTTAAAGTTGCTCCCCTGAAGATGGTTTTTCCTTAACATTTCCGAAACGTGTTGAGATAAAGAAATAAAATTTGGTATCCTAGCCTAGTTTTTTATGCTGGATTTAAAAATATTAAGAATTTTAGACAGTTTTGTTTGGAGCGTATGTAACAGGGACAGACTCAGGTTATTTTAGCACCAAAATTTTTGTGTGATTCTATTTTTGAAATTCAATTTTAGAATTTGAAAGTTTAGGGTTTTCTACATAAAAAGGTAAACTTATTGAATATCGATAAATTGTGCCATTTTTAAATAAAATCAAACTAAAAAATTTTTCACATGATAGGAAATGTACTGCAAATTTAAATGAATTGTTGAATAATTCGCCATGGCAATGAAAAAACTAATTTAATAATTGGTAAATACATAAATACATATTTCTATTGCAACATAGCTAACATTTAGGCAAAAACAAAAGAAATACATTTTTTCTACTAACGCAATTGAACTTTGTTTAAAAAAGAAGACATACAGTTGGATTTACTTAAAACTAGCTGTACAATAAGTGTTCAAATAAATTTCCATTTTGTTGGATACAGAGTCTCGCTCGACGAACTAATGATTGCGTAGCCCGAAAAGTGGAAAACCTTTTTCTTCTTATTTCATTTGCAGCCTGATGGATTCTTTAAAGTAAATCTTCTTGAGTATTTACTTCAGTCGAGTAAACTAGGTCTTTTAATGACCCCCAAAAATAGAAATGCAATGGATTTAGGTCAGGTGAACGTGGCGGCTACGCTATAGGACCTCCTCGGCCTAACCACCTGTCTGGAAAATTGACATTGCATCCAAAATCTGCAGGGGCGCCATCATGTTGAAAAAACATGCACCATTCCTTGTAAATATTGACTCGTCCGACCATAATATTCTAGGAATAGTGTTTTCATTTGCTAATTTTCACTGGCAAAACTCGATTCGTGGTCAAAAATCTGCCTCCGTTACATGCTGCACAAGTTTAAAATGATAAGAATGTAATCCTTTGCATTCTTGTCATTCTTCCTATCTAAAATTATTATTTTTAGGATAACTATCAAATAGGTATTCATAAATTTTCCTTACTATTGATCGAGGTATATCCATAATTTCTAAAACATCCTGTATGCTTATTTGCGGATTATTTTCAAACATATTTAAAGCAATATCCATACGATGATTTCCCAGTGGCCTTTCTGAGCCCTGCATGCGCTGAAAACTTCCATGGTTCGACAAATTCCGGTGAATATCAGTGAACATTCGACGTCCAGGTACTATGCGATTAGGAAATCTTCTTTGATATTCTCTTACGGCTGCCAATGAACTGCCATTGCAAAACCCGCACACAAAATGCATGTCAGTCAGTTCTCTGTCTGTAAATCTTGGCATTTTAAATCGATTTAATAAAAATTTTGATTTCAATCTAGTAATTTTACACTGCTAACAATGTCAGCTTAACGTCAAAATAAGTAACAACAAATCAATACATTTTTTGTTTGAAGTCATGGCTAACTATGTATGATCAACAATTCATTTAAATTCGCAGTACATTTCCTGCTATCATGTGAAATAAATTTTATTGTGATTTTATTCAAAAATGGCACAATTTATCGATATTCAATAAGAGTACCTTTTTATGTAGAAAACCCTAAATTTTCAAATTCTAAAATTGAATTTCAAAAATAGAATCACACAAAAATTTTGGTGCTAAAATAACCTGAGCCCGTCCCTGTTAAATACGCTTCCAAACAAAACTGTCTAAAATTGTTAATATTTTTCCATCCAGCTAAAAAACTAGGCTAGAATACCAAATTTTATGTCTTTGTCTCAGCAGGTTTCGGAAAAACCATCTTCAGGGGAGCCCCTTCAAAAGACCGTAGCGCCCTTATTGGAAGTTTGCCGACCTATGTTTATATAAACTTTTCTTCCTATGTTAAGCTCTAAAAACCGCTGGTAGAATATTGCACACTTTTTTCGGGACACCCTGTATAAGGGTTTTTTCTTTGTACACTTTAATCTCTACAAAACTGGACGTGTTCCCACTACATTTAGTGTTGACAGCTACAGTACTATAAAAATAAATTTAAATGTGCATAAATACTATTTGGAACATTATAAAGATATATAGAAAATAACATGTATTTATTGTAGTAGTATTTATTGTGATATTTCTTAGATCTCTTATTTTTTATATGTAAGATATAGCATATTAGAGCAGTTAAGTTAATTATAAGCAGACATGTAATCTCTTTGCTACCTGAATTATTACCCATATAGCACACAACATCTTTAAGATGTCTTATTTATGTCCTAATGAGGTCGTTATGTCTTAAGACCTGAAAAAGATATCTCCCAGATGTCTTAAGCATCTATTACACAGGGCGAGATTAGTAGCCGATCGCCGGCGAGTAGCGAGTGAGCGAGTAGAACACGCTCAGCGAGCGCAAATTACACAGCGCTAGTAAAATCGCTTTACTTGCATCGTATTGAACCTTTGAAAAGTGTTTAGTTTGTATCTTTTGTGCGATAATAGAATCTAAAATGGCTGTTAAATGGAACAGTAATCAAATTATACAGTTCTTAAAAGTCTATGAACAATTTCCCGTTTTATGGAATATAAAACACAAAGATTACGTTAATATCAAACTCAAAGATGTTTTATTCAAGAAAATGTGGGAGCAATTAGAGGATAAAGGGCTTTTAAAAGAAATGGACGAAAAACAACTAAAAAACAAAATAAAGAATTTAAAAGATGTGCTTCGTCAAGAACTGGCCAAGATAGAACGAAGCAAAAAAGTGGCTGTGGAACAGAGGATAGTTATACCCCAAAGCTAACATGGTTTGAAGCTGCCCATTTTTTCGCTGAAGTTTTGTCAACAAGGCATAGTAATTCAAACTTGGTAAGGAGATTTTAGAGCTATATATTTTTTATTCATACTTAAGCAAATTATACATAACAAATAAAGTTAAATTTTCTTTAACACTTTGAGCAGAATTAATTTGAAAAATAATAAATCACTTAAAAATATAAAAATTGTTCAAGCAAATTCCAATCCCACTTTTTTCCATTGCCACGGTAAAGGATTGTCTTCCATAAAATACTTAGCGTATTTGCGTCTTACTTCCTCTGCAGAATTTTTGTAGTTGTTGCTTCCCAAATGACTAACCGTTGGCAGATTATTCACGTGGTTTCTCCATTGCCCAAAAGTAATATTGCCCGTGTTAAGATCCTCTCTATCCACGGCATTTTCAGGAAAATAAGTATTTGGGCTACTTTTGTTCAGCCAGTTGTGGAGACTACATGCTGCCAAAATAACATTGTCAATTGTAGTTTCTTTTAATTGAATTGGTCTTGAAAATATTCTGAAGCGCCACACAAGAATGCCAAATGCATTTTCCGATACTCTTCTTGCGCGAGAGAGTCGGTAGTTGAATATCCTTTCACTATTATTAAGCTGTGACTTACTGTAGGGTTTCATTAAGTTGGTTCTCAATGGAAAGGCATCGTCCCCAACAATGACCGAATTTTCAGGCATGTTAAGTGTGTTATTTTGCATTGCTATGTTCAAAGTACTGTATCTAAATATATCGGAAGGAAAACCGTACGACGAATTTGGAAAGTATGTAGCTGCAGAGCTGCGTCAATTACCCCAACGTGAGGCTATTTTATTGCAGCAAGAAATTCAGAATTCTATTACACGTGTAAAGCTAATGTGTTTGGGAAATGATAATCAACTAAATAATTACTACAGAGAGCCCCTTCAAGTGCAAACTTTTTCACCGTTATCCTCCCCCAGTGATCCCAGCACTGCCTCATCAGCAACATATGAAGCAAATGTGCAAAATGACAAAGATAGCGTTTATGGTAACGATGTTATTCATTAAGCACTATTAAATACATTTTAGGGGGCAGAGTTTGAAATAGTAGAAGAAGTTTCTCAATGAAATAGATTCTATTTTTCATACAAAAAAATATTTTGTTTTATAAGTATAAGTACTGTGTTAAAAATAAATTGATACTTAAATTAAACCTTTATATATGGCTTTAGGACCTGGCAAATTGCTGCAAGTACTTCGGGTACAAACAATGAAATTGTACATTCAGGCACTCGAAATAAATATTCTAGTGATTTGAAGGAATTACCAGTTGCCAAAAAGCGTAGGGTTATTTCTAGTTTTGTAGCAGTTGGAATCGCCATCCTCATTTTTGTGTCTTTTTGCGGATTGTTTCGTTAACCATTTGTAATAGTACATTAAACTGTTCATTGCTCATTCTCAAAACATTCCTATATGCCACAGGATCTTCATCCTTTAATTGTCTTAATGAAATATTAGAAGCCCCCAGTGTGTCCCGTTTTGAAATCCAATTCCTGACCCACATCCGTCTCGCTTTCCTTTTTTTCTGGTTTAACCGTTCTTGAAGTTTTTTCCGAATTAAAAGGCTGACAAAAACAATTCCTACACGCACTATATCGGCCATTTTATCCAACTAGTCGGGCTTTAGCTTATTACACATAGCGTTTTCACTCGTCAGAGAGAAAAATTGCGAGTGAGTAGCGAGAAAAGTAGGCCGGTGTTCAACTTTACTCGCTGGGAAAAAGCGAGCCGCGAGTTTACTAGCAGCTGCGATTACATTTGACGACTTTTATAGCAGCGAGTAAATTCGCTGACGAGTAACTACTAATCTCGCCCTGTGTAATAGATGCTTTACTAGAGATGTCTTTAAGACATCTGGAATGTAACATCTTTGAGATATCTTTTGTGGCTGAAAATAATATTCCAAGTATCCAATTGACTGTTCTAAGTATTATAGCTAAAATACTAGGTGCAATAGTTTTAGAGAAAAAAACAAATGCTTTTGTATGTTCAAAAAAAAACTCAAAGCAGTAAAAAAATGGCCGCTTGACATTGACATAAGTCAATTGCGTTGCCCTATGGCTATGGATGACACGGGACTGTTCTCGCGTTCTCAGTGTTACTGTTATGTGTTCTGTGAGCTGAAAGTACAAAGTGCGAAATGAGGTTGTGGTGCGGTGGTGCCTAATTATTGCTAATTAATCTATGTGTAATCACTGTAATCTGTACGAAAACTGTCTTTTCTGTACTTCGCGGGCCTGCCTGCAAGTTGAAAGGTATGTATTTGTGGTTATCATCAGTGTAAGCTTACGAAATATCTCAAACACTTTTTTTATTTTTTTGCATGCTAGTCCAACCCTGTAGCACACGAAAACTTTCCAGAAGTTACACAAGGCAGCTTAGTGTGACTCAACGCGACAGCCCTTACGCCTGTTTACATTATACATTCCATTCCTTCGCTGGGTACCTGCTCCCAGGATAAACTTTGTTAGTCTGGCGTAGATACATTTCAATTATCGCGTGGATCACATCGCTTCTCAGACCAAGTAGAGTGAACTTCATTACGGTGTTGATGTGCTATTGGGTGTGGTGTTTTAGTTACCTGAAAGGTGAGCTATCACTGAGTGTTTCCTTTATTCTACTGTACTGCATGGATTGATAACCATAATAGTTTTATATTCATGATCATGAATGTCTTAAGCCATGTTTATAAAGATGCTATACTTTTTATCTTCATAATTTAACTTATGGCTTACGACTTGTTATTGAATATCCGCAGGTGGGACGCCTCCAGGTTCTGGGGGTTGTTATGGGACTTTCGGAGCCCGTTTGCTGGGTTGAGGTAGTTATGTTACTTACTGCTCGGTTTCCTCTACCAGGGGAAATGTCGGAGCGCTTTGGATGTTGACACGATGGCCTTTGGTCGAAGTGGCATCCTTGGTCTTAATGACCGCTTAACTATCTTCACTTGGCAATCGTTGAAGTCTGAATGTATCTCATGGCAGGATATGTGAAGGGATTGTTACTTTAATGATAGTCATATTGCTCGGTTACCTCTGATTCAGGGGTAATGTCGGAGATTTGGGGTATTGACACAACGGCCTTGGTCGGCGTGATATCCCGGTTCCTGGACTGTCTTTTTGTAACAATCGTTAAACTCAGCACGTCTGACCATACACCTAGCGACCAAAGTTATATTGAGTCTGTCGTGATGACTCCTATTGAGTCTGTGTGATGACTCCTATTAAGTCTGTCGTGATGACTTAACGACCAGTCTGTCGTGATGACGGTCAGGATCAGTCTGTCGTGATGACGGTCCCGTGATTCAGTCGATGACGAATCCGTAATAGTAGTTGGGGTACATTAATGTAATGGTAGATAGTAGATTTGTGCATGTGTTGTCATGAGTCGGTTGAATACGGGAGATACTCATAAGTCTTTTTCTAAAAATAGGTGTTGGCCCCGACAATCCAATCATATCGCCCTTATCGCTTGCCAAAGGAGGATAACTCGTTGTCGTTTCGTCACCAAGTAAGTGACTTTAATACTACCCTGACATTGTTGCCCATATCGAATTGTTTACGTACTGCCCGTGTAGTAAAAATGTAATGGTACGGGGCGGTACTTCGAAATCTTCTAAGATGAGATGTTTTCGCGGTTATCGTTATATTGCTATTTTCATATTATCAATTTCGTATCCTACATATTTTCTCAGAAGTGGGATCTGACACTTATGTGCCTGGATCTGACACTTATGTGCCTGGATCTGACACTTATGTGCCTGGATCTGACACTTATGTGCCTTGACCTGATAGTTATGGGCTTCTGATGCTGTTGGTATTTGGTCAAATGTCAGGATTGTCTTGTAAATACAAAGAAGCAAAGTCTTATGGGAAACTCTTGATCCGTCGCACTCCTTCATATTTTGTCTCATATGGATTTGAGCATCTGGTTGTCAATTATTCGAAGTCTGATCATGGTCTCAAAAATATTCCGTTCATCGTCAATGGAGAACGCCGACCCTGAAGAATCTTGGGATATCGAAAACAGTTTGCTGTCAAGTACTGTCATAAAATAGATAAGCCTCGCACTATATTCGGCTGATCTATACAGGCCTTTATGCATTATGAGTCCCCTGAAGTTGACAGCTGTTTATTAGAAAAATAGTAAAAATCTAATAAGTCGTGGCCTAATTGCCTACTAAATATAACAGTCCCTTTTCGCTTGCTTGAAGCAAGCAGGTAGATTTTTAGTCGTGTGAACATACCCCGGGTTAAAACAGAAAACAGATGTTGATAAAAGGTCGTTATCGTTATCTGAGTCGCAAGAAAGGACACTCTACTTAGAGTTTTACAGAAAAGGCAATGTTTGTTATTTTGGCGACAAGAGTGCACTTATAAGGGTTTGCAGGTCAAAATAGGAAACAATAATCAGCGGGTGGTTAGAGTTTGACTAATTGCAAGAGATGTCGATGGTGGTATCCCGAAAATAGGTTTTATTGGGCAATGAAAGTGGGCGGTTGCCCACAAACAGGTTATGTAATTTTGGTCACCCTTGTTTCATCATTACTTTCGATGTGGTGACAGACTGGTGCATTTCCTATAACCTTTCGGGAGTGGCCATACTGAAGGATTATGTAAATGTTTTGACCCAGCTCATAATTTTTGTCACTTAGCATTGAGAATATTGGTGTGACGTGGGTGTAAAAACCCTTGTGGTACCAAAGTTACGTTAGAAATACACTTTACTTGTTGGAAAACCCTTCACTTCGGAAGAAGTTGCGAAAAAAAGTTGCTTTTCACTATAGGCAGGTTCCTTTGAAACTCTAAAGATGCCCATCTAGGAACAATTCGAGTCCTGCACATCCTTTGTTGTCTTGGCATTCTATGTGAATTTAGAGAGGTTTTCTCAGTCTGTCTAATAACTTCATGATTATTGTGATGGTGGCTTATAGCCAGCTAAGGTAGTCGGCGAAACGGTGGAGAAACCCAGAGAGTTTTGGAAATTTATTGATATAAAAGCCTCACGTCTATATTCAAAGTGATCTGATTTCCTGATGAGATCGTTTATATTTCGAGGGTCTCAAATAAAGAGGAGGATTTCACGGTTGGATCCATATCGGAAGTTTGGCTAGGAAACTTGGTTAGCTTGCCGAATCAATATCGCGGCTGTTTTGCTCAGTCGATGGCTGAACTCAGTGAGTCCGCTGAAATGACGATACAGCTTAAAGAGAAAAAGCATTCACGTATCGGGCTTACCAAATGGCTCACTCAGAGCTAGAGGCTGTGGAGGAGATAGTCGACGATATTCTGAGCGTGGAAGTCATATGAGCATGAGACGCAAACTATGCATCCTCGGTTCTTCTGATGAAGAAGAAAAATGAAGATCGAAGGAAGGTTATGTATCGACTATCGCCGTTTGTCTGTGATAGAAATTAAGGACAGTCACCTCTTGCCAACAATTGACGATCAAGTCGACAGTCTCCGTGACGAGATCTATTTCACCAGTCTATATCTCAGGTTCGGATACTACGAAATCCCTATGGAGGAGGAATCATGGCGATACACAGCGTTTGTCACTCCGGAGGTCTCTATGAATTCAATGGAGTCCCTTCCGGCCTCTCAAATGCACCCAGAGTATTTCAGAGGTTTATGAACCGGTTGGTGAAACCGGCGTAAGACATTGCAGCCGTATATCTTGATGTATTGCTGCATCCTAACACTGTAGAGGAATCATTGGAGGGTATCCAAAAAGGTCTCACTTTGAACTTGAAGAAATGTGCTTTTCTGATGAGATCAGTTACAGTTCTGGGTTTCCAAATAGAGGATGGAAAGGTCAGACCCGGCGAGGAGAAGACAAAAGCGGTGGAGAGTTTTTGTCAACCAAGAACTGTACACCAAGTCCGACAGTTCCTTGGACTAACAGAATACTTCAGGCATTTTGTAAAGGACTACGCTATCGTAGCCAAGCCCCTCACAAATCTTCTCAGAAAGAGTGTGTCTTGGCGATGGGGCGAGCAGGAAGAAGGCTCATTTAGGAAGTTGCAGAGCAACTTAGTGAGTCGGCCAGTTTTGGCTTTGTATGACACAGCCGCTGCGACTGAAGTTCATTGCGACGCAAGTATGCTGGGCGTTGCAGGAATACTCTTGCAAATGCAGCCCGATGAGCGGCTACACCCAGTGGCGTACTACAGTAGACAAACCACCGATGGTGAGCAGAAGTACCACTCATATGAGTTGGAAACTCTGGCGGTGGTTGAGAGTTTGAAAAATTTCCGGGTATATCTGCTAAGGGTTCATTTTATAGTAGTGACTGACTGTAATGCATTGAAGGCCACCAGTGTAAAGAAGCAAATAATACCCAGAATAATTGCTAGGTGGTGGTTGCAACTCCAGGAGTTTGACTTTGAAGTGAAGTACAGACCTGGAGCTCGAATGGCACACGTGGATTGTCTGAGTAGAAATCCAGTCGGTTGTGCTGACGGGAATGTCGAATCGGAAACGGTGTTCCGAGTTGAGCAGGCTGATTGGGTATTATCTGGCCAGCTTACCGACGAGAAGATCAAGCGAATTCACGATATCTTGTCCAGACCGCCTACGTCGAACGAGGAAAAGCAAGTCTACAAGGACTATGCTTTGAGGGACGGACGAGTATATCGTGTTACGGTTCGAGGTATTCAATGGGTTGTGCCACGAGGTATGCGTCATCAAGTAGTGAAAGCGACTCATGATGATTTTGGTCACTTTTCCGTGGACAAAACATTGTATCGTTTAACGGATCACTACGGGTTTCCAAGGATGAGGAAGTATGTGGAGAAATATATTTCTTGCTGCATCCCATGCCTGTATAACAAGAAACCAGCTGGTAGAAAGGAAGGGTTCTTGCACCCGATTCCGAAAACTACCAACTCCTTTCTTCACGGTGCACGTTGACCACATGGGACCATTCCCAAAGAGTAGGAAAGGCAATTGTCACATTTTAGCGATAATTGATGGGTTCACGAAATTTGTCGCACTGAAGGCCGTAAAGTCTACAAAGACTAAATATGTGATAGATCACATCACAACCCTGTCAGCGACATATGGAGTACCTAGAGTACTAATCAGTGATCAAGGAAGCTCGTTTACAGCCAAGAAATTCAGAGATTTCTGCCATCAGAACAATATCAAACATGTTCTGAATGCTGTAGCGACGCCCAGGGCAAACGGACAAGTAGAGCGGTTAAATCGGACGTTGCTGAACGCTTTACTTACATCGACGTTGGAGGAAGACCTGTGGGACAGAGAACTTCCAAATGTTCAGTTTGCCATAAACAACGTCCCAAATAAGTCTACAGGGAAAACTCCAAGTCAACTTTTATTTGGTTATGGACCTCGAAAAGGTGTGGATATGGTTCTAAAGGACGAAGTTAGTCAAGTCCACATACTCCTCGAAGACCTTGTTGCCACAAGGGAGAGGGCTGCCCGAAAAATAGAGGCAGCTCAACAGAAACAAAAAGCCAGTTTTGACAAGAAGCGGGAGGCTCCGCGGAAATATAGACCAGGCTAGGAAACTTGGTTAGCTTGCCGAATCAATATCGCGGCTGTTTTGCTCAGTCGATGGCTGAACTCAGTGAGTCCGCTGAAATGACGATACAGCTTAAAGAGAAAAAGCATTCACGTATCGGGCTTACCAAATGGCTCACTCAGAGCTAGAGGCTGTGGAGGAGATAGTCGACGATATTCTGAGCGTGGAAGTCATATGAGCATGAGACGCAAACTATGCATCCTCGGTTCTTCTGATGAAGAAGAAAAATGAAGATCGAAGGAAGGTTATGTATCGACTATCGCCGTTTGTCTGTGATAGAAATTAAGGACAGTCACCTCTTGCCAACAATTGACGATCAAGTCGACAGTCTCCGTGACGAGATCTATTTCACCAGTCTATATCTCAGGTTCGGATACTACGAAATCCCTATGGAGGAGGAATCATGGCGATACACAGCGTTTGTCACTCCGGAGGTCTCTATGAATTCAATGGAGTCCCTTCCGGCCTCTCAAATGCACCCAGAGTATTTCAGAGGTTTATGAACCGGTTGGTGAAACCGGCGTAAGACATTGCAGCCGTATATCTTGATGTATTGCTGCATCCTAACACTGTAGAGGAATCATTGGAGGGTATCCAAAAAGGTCTCACTTTGAACTTGAAGAAATGTGCTTTTCTGATGAGATCAGTTACAGTTCTGGGTTTCCAAATAGAGGATGGAAAGGTCAGACCCGGCGAGGAGAAGACAAAAGCGGTGGAGAGTTTTTGTCAACCAAGAACTGTACACCAAGTCCGACAGTTCCTTGGACTAACAGAATACTTCAGGCATTTTGTAAAGGACTACGCTATCGTAGCCAAGCCCCTCACAAATCTTCTCAGAAAGAGTGTGTCTTGGCGATGGGGCGAGCAGGAAGAAGGCTCATTTAGGAAGTTGCAGAGCAACTTAGTGAGTCGGCCAGTTTTGGCTTTGTATGACACAGCCGCTGCGACTGAAGTTCATTGCGACGCAAGTATGCTGGGCGTTGCAGGAATACTCTTGCAAATGCAGCCCGATGAGCGGCTACACCCAGTGGCGTACTACAGTAGACAAACCACCGATGGTGAGCAGAAGTACCACTCATATGAGTTGGAAACTCTGGCGGTGGTTGAGAGTTTGAAAAATTTCCGGGTATATCTGCTAAGGGTTCATTTTATAGTAGTGACTGACTGTAATGCATTGAAGGCCACCAGTGTAAAGAAGCAAATAATACCCAGAATAATTGCTAGGTGGTGGTTGCAACTCCAGGAGTTTGACTTTGAAGTGAAGTACAGACCTGGAGCTCGAATGGCACACGTGGATTGTCTGAGTAGAAATCCAGTCGGTTGTGCTGACGGGAATGTCGAATCGGAAACGGTGTTCCGAGTTGAGCAGGCTGATTGGGTATTATCTGGCCAGCTTACCGACGAGAAGATCAAGCGAATTCACGATATCTTGTCCAGACCGCCTACGTCGAACGAGGAAAAGCAAGTCTACAAGGACTATGCTTTGAGGGACGGACGAGTATATCGTGTTACGGTTCGAGGTATTCAATGGGTTGTGCCACGAGGTATGCGTCATCAAGTAGTGAAAGCGACTCATGATGATTTTGGTCACTTTTCCGTGGACAAAACATTGTATCGTTTAACGGATCACTACGGGTTTCCAAGGATGAGGAAGTATGTGGAGAAATATATTTCTTGCTGCATCCCATGCCTGTATAACAAGAAACCAGCTGGTAGAAAGGAAGGGTTCTTGCACCCGATTCCGAAAACTACCAACTCCTTTCTTCACGGTGCACGTTGACCACATGGGACCATTCCCAAAGAGTAGGAAAGGCAATTGTCACATTTTAGCGATAATTGATGGGTTCACGAAATTTGTCGCACTGAAGGCCGTAAAGTCTACAAAGACTAAATATGTGATAGATCACATCACAACCCTGTCAGCGACATATGGAGTACCTAGAGTACTAATCAGTGATCAAGGAAGCTCGTTTACAGCCAAGAAATTCAGAGATTTCTGCCATCAGAACAATATCAAACATGTTCTGAATGCTGTAGCGACGCCCAGGGCAAACGGACAAGTAGAGCGGTTAAATCGGACGTTGCTGAACGCTTTACTTACATCGACGTTGGAGGAAGACCTGTGGGACAGAGAACTTCCAAATGTTCAGTTTGCCATAAACAACGTCCCAAATAAGTCTACAGGGAAAACTCCAAGTCAACTTTTATTTGGTTATGGACCTCGAAAAGGTGTGGATATGGTTCTAAAGGACGAAGTTAGTCAAGTCCACATACTCCTCGAAGACCTTGTTGCCACAAGGGAGAGGGCTGCCCGAAAAATAGAGGCAGCTCAACAGAAACAAAAAGCCAGTTTTGACAAGAAGCGGGAGGCTCCGCGGAAATATAGACCAGGCGATTTAGTATTGGTCGAAAAGCAGAATCCTGCTACGGGGGCGAGTCGGAAATTACTGTCACCTTATAGCGGTCCATTGGTTGTTAAAGCGGCTTTGCCTAACGATAGGTATGTTGTATCGGACATGGGGGGATCGCACCGTACCGGGAGAAAGGCGAATTATGAGAGGACGGTTGCGGTGGACAGGAGGTGTTTCGGACGACACGGGTAGCGAAAGTGGTGACGATGGGGTCCCACTTCCAGCGTCGTCGGGCAGCGAATGATCACCTCGGGGCGAGGTGAATGTCGGATGGCCTCAGTTTTTTAGCTGGAATGTGTTTCTTAACCTTGCCTGATTTTCGCCCTTTAATGCGTGTTCTTTACTCTATAGATTCTCCATTGTGGCGTGGTTTGATCCAGAGTAGGTCCTGCCATTTTTATCACGGATTTTTTAAAAAAACTTTTGTGCTGTGCATACTACTGAAAAACATATCTGAATATAATTAAAATGAAAAGAAATAACTTGCAAAAACTTTATATGCGAGCTAAAAGGGCAATAAGTCATGACCCTCCTGCTAGTTCCAATTCTGGGAAGTCTGCTATTTCACGTATTAGTGATAGCGTCGAGGGAAATAGCAGTGAGAATGCAAATGTTGATCTTTCTTTGACTGATTGCCCATTATTTGATCATTTAGAGGAGAATGATGAGACCATGGGTGATCATTTTGGTGACACTGAATTGAGTGCCGAATCATCATCAAGTATTGAACAAAACACTAAATGTAGTATGGATGAAATGTGCTTACATCTATTGAGCTCTACACTCAGTTCAACAAACCCAGCAAATAATAGAATAAGTCTAGCGGAGGGCACAGTACAGTGTAAGAGCTGTTCAGAAAAAGGTAATCTAATTAGTTTTATTCTATAACTTGCTTGCATGCTCAATGCCTAGTTTTTCAATTGTACCTATAACCTTGTTCATTCAATTCTCTTGCCAGTATTTTGGCATTGACAGACATTAGAAAATACAATATCTGCTGGCCTGTAACTAAGAACTGAGAAATTAGTCTGAAGCACATGTTCTGTATCTAGGTATTACACTAATTATAGTTTATTTAACGACATCTGCTGAAATACTTGGTTGATTATTTTTCTATTAGATGCCATTGGAGATGCAGGTTACTCATAAAATAACTTGGGGAGCTAATCTACGGTTGAAAAACTGGCCTGGGCTGTATTTAATAATAATATTTATTCATTGGGAGCATTGCTATGTAAATTGATTTCCCAGAAAAGGCAAAGATCAGCTTTCATTCCTAGAGGAACTTAACCCTATAAAGCATAATTAACTTACTTAAATGAATGTTGCAAAGGCGAAAATATGAGAATAAGCAGCAGTTTTGAAGACAATGACGTAAAGAATACATACAAAAGAAATGAGTGATGATTTGCCAAATGAACCAATTTCTTAAACCAAAATCAAAAGATATCCAATTGGGGCTGTAAAGAATTGAAATAATAATAATAAAAAATAATAATAATACTCTTTATACCACGATCATCATTGAAATGACATAGAATACGTCCAAGATATCTAACAGGAATAAGTAATGCGAAAAATGAAAAGTATAGAAAATTTATCAAAGAGAATTGAATGAAAATACAAAAATTGAATAAACATATTAAATCTACATTCAGAAAAAACAGCACAATATATGTATATGGTCACATAACATAAAATAAGTGCATATAGACATTATTAAAACAATAAAAAAAATTGATAAAATTAGGTTAAAACTTAGACTAAATTGCATCATCAAAGAGGTACTCATTCATGGAGTAAACAACCAGGGTTATTTTCTTGTTGTTGATCGAACCTTTTTTTTGTTTTTAGATAAAATATTTAAAGTGCTTGTGCAGCAGGGACATATTTTAAGAGGATTGGTTACGGAAACCTTGGCTGAAGTCAAACAACTGAAAGACGAGCTGGTGGCAAAGAAACAGACATCAAATACAACAAAAAGTTTCTTTACTTCAATTTCACTGAACTTTCCCTTATCTTCAGATGAAGATGTCCTGCTATTTGAAAACTATTTGGCTGATACCTCAAATTTCAATAATGCAGTAGGTTTAATCTATTGTATATGTCTTAAAATTTGTAGCATTGTGTATATTTGTAGGTAGCAGAGCTTGTCAAGATTGGAGGCATAAAGTCCTACGATTTCGTAGCTCGAGTAGCAAAATTAATTTTATCCAATGAACTGGCTATGAAATACAGTTGGCTGGGCCGTAAAGGAAAAAGAAAATTTTCAAATATGAAAATTGCAGATTTGCTAATTGGTCATATTTTTACCCTAATATGTTTCCCAAGTTTAATTTCATGATTTTCAGAGTCATTGCTTGCTACAACATTGGCAAAGTCAAAAAAGGAGGCTGAAACAGCAATTCAGTTATGGCTGAGAAGAGCATCTGATAGAAATACCTATCAAATGAATAAAAAACTTTAAACTTACGCTATACATTGTATTTTCCATTCCAAAATATATGGTCAAGATTTTTTCAATATTCAATTGTTTTATTGTAGAGTTATAGTTTTTATCGAAAAATGGGGTTAAAACAAGTCTTAAAACTGTTATCAAAAGAAATCTTAAAGTCGTCGTCAACAGACATGCAAAAATTCCTATTTCCACATTGTTCGGAAATCTTCTTGTATATACAAAAATAAAGTATTCCATCGTTTACCAAAAGATGAAAAAACTGTTGCTGCATGTAATGCACCTTATAAGATATCTCCCACTCGTAAAGGTTCCAATTATTATGTTTGTGAGGATCATTTTTCAATGTTTGATCGTAGTAATCTGCAAGATCCTTCACGTCACAGATATCTTGCCATACCAGTGTTCCCCAATACAGTTTTAAATTCAAATAATATTCATCCTACTAAACCAGGTCCCACTTCAGTATCTAGAGTTTTATTCAATGACCCTCCTTCTGGAGAGGCTACCACAAATCCAACCTTCTGTGCAAAATGAAAATTCCAGTGTTTTTCTGGAAGATCAAAACATTGAAATCTGTGGAAGTGGTTCTAGAACAGAATCTAATTAATTAGATAAATATTCTTTTTTGTTAGAGAAGCGCTCTGGCATATTAACAATATCTGGTACATCAAAGAAGGAATTGAGCCCTAAGGAAACAATTATGTATAATGTCCACCGGAATGTTTGCTCAAGGCTCTCCAAATTAAAATCAAATTTCATTGTCGCTGGGGTTGACATTACTACATATTTCAAATAGCAATTAGGTCTGTTATGTCACTATGGAGAGATCTTAAAGAGAAGGGCTTGAAATATCTTTGAGAAATTTAAATCAAGATTCCTTGGAAAATTTATTTGGTCAAGTAAGATAGCATGGTATCTTCAATACAAATCCCACCAGTCATCAGTTGTTGCTGCCTTAAAAACAGTAGTTATTAATAATTTCACCACACCTTTTTCTGAAGGTAATTGTGAACTCGATTTTTGTGATACTTTGGTCGATTTCAGTGATTTTTTGGATAAATATGACCAAAGTAATGATACAGTGCTTGATTTAGACCCTGAGATTCGAAGTGACTCTGACATGGAAATAATGGACAGTTCTGTTGAATTTAATCCTTCAAATGGTTATATGGCTGGGTATATTTTGGACAGACTCAAAATTGAATTGTGAATCCGGTGCAAGGTTATTTTCTTTGGTTGGCACTGAAAAACATCTATTTGTGACGTTTGAAGACCATGATGAGGAAAAGCGATTGAAGTATGCAAGCGAAGATTTAATTAACCTGATTGGTTTTCTGGATGAAAAGCTGTATGCATTTTTAGAGCAGCATGGTATAGAAGGCCAACTGGAAGTATTCCTGCATGCTTCAAAACTACAGATTTTGTCAGCAGCATGATGTGGCAAAAGGTATAATTGAAAAACTGCTCAGTTGGGTATTTACAAATATGTAAGCAGAAACTTTTTGAAGTGGTGAGACTACAAATAGTCATATCAAAAAATAAGAAATTCAAGACAGCTAAAGTCAGGTAATGCTTTTTTATGTAGTTCAGCACTCTTCATTCATTGAATTTTCAATTTACTTTCAGTAACCGAATACTACTGTGATATTATACCTAAACAATATCTTTTTGGTTTCATAGTTGCAGCATCCTTGGGAGGGAGCAGTTTGATGAAGAATAATTATTTATTTTGTTACTCCCTGTAATGTTAAAGCCATCAGGAGCTTTTGGTTTTAAGTATGAGGACTGTATTGTTTATTTTTAACTTTGATTCCTTCTTTGAAGAAAATTTTCCTCATTTTTACACTATAGAAAATATTTTTTGCTGTTTTAGTATGAATGTTTACGTTTCAGTGATAAATATGCCTCATGATGGATTAACTATAGGTAGTGCTTGCTAAACACTTCCTTTGATTAGTGAGGGTCCCTTTTTATCGTTCTTTATGCTACTAATGTATGATTTGTATTTTTTTTTGAAACATCACTTATTCACTTAATAATATAGAGAAAGCTCCGGATGTCTAAAAATACCTTTATATATTGTCAGTGTACTGTGATGATAAATTATTATTTATTATTAGTCATATATTTAACTATTTAATAAATATTTTATTAATTACGCATTTATTTTTTATTATCCCAAAATTGGTTTCCAGCAAAACTGCTGAATCAGGTATTTCCTTTATTGAGGATATTTTATGCGTCTATGCTCATAAAATATTTCTTCAATATGGGAAATATCACTTTTAGCAGATCTTAAATTGTAAACAAATTAAATCCACGGCACATTCCTCGCATTCCTAATCTCCCAGCGCATTCTTTGAATTCCTTCGATAGTTCCTTCATATCTCCAAGCAAGTAGGCGGTGCAACCATCTGTCAAAACGTCAACGGTGTTACCATTGTTTAACGTGCAGCTCCCACTTCTTCAGTCTTGTGTTTTGTGATTGAAATTTGAAATGGACACAGCGCGGAAGAAGAAACTACTAGCAATGAACTTGATATGGAGACGGCGTATAAGAAGAAATAGGCCGTTTTAGATTCACTCATTGCTTCAAAATCGACATACTTCTGGGTCCCCCAAAGTTTGGTTTAATTTGATCAACTAAATGCGACATACTATGGGGAAAGTGTTCTAGAGGCCATGGACATTTCAACAAGACTAGGCACCGTCTCACACAGCACGGATGAACCAAGAATAGCTGAAAAACAACGTACAGAACTTCTTTTCGACCACATAATGGCTCTCGAATTCACCCGACGCGAATCTAATGGATTTTATTTTATCTGGGTCATTTTGGAGAGCTAAGAAATACACCAGCCTCGAGACACTGAAGAAAGCCATTGCCCGTTAGTGGGCGAAAATATCGTCAAGTCACATTCGGACAGTTTTTGATTCGTTTTTGGACCGTCTCAATGCTATAATTTCACACATACTGTACTTTGGCATAAATAAAAATCATATTCCAAGCCGTATGTATGGCATTTTTGAAAAGATTACACATCGAGTGCACCGTGTAGATGTAGAGGTTGGGCCGTGCGACCGTGTGAACACTCCAAAGTAGATATACTATAGTGGATACCAAATAACACCCGATGCACCGATGCACGTCATCGATCTGGAGCTGTGCGCTGTTGCCAGAATTGGCACATTTTCTTTTAAGTAAATAAATTTAATAAAATAAATTGTTTATATATACCTACCATTTACTATAATACCATTATATTAAAAATAAATAAACTTGTTGTAAAATGAAATTCCTTTCTGAATAAAAACACCTGATCTGGTAGATATTCAAAAACACAAAATATTTAAAGAACATAAATTGTTTTCTCGTATTTTAATTAATTTGATTATTTATTTATGATATGGGAACTACAACACTTTTTCAATTCACATCAAAGAGAAGAAAGAACTCGGGTGATGCGATGTTACACAATACCGGCAACTAGCGGCAAGGAGTACTCTTTATCGAGCCTGATATTAACCGCATGGTATGGTTCAGTTGTGTATCAATTCCGGAGTTTGATTACATTATACAGAATATATTTTGATGTTTTAACTATTCTGAATCACTGGAATCAGTAGAGTCATCGTTAACATGGATAATAAGGGGAAGAATTTCCTGTCTATCCATTACTTGTTCCCTTCTATACCATTTCATAATTATCTCCTCTGTATGTCTAATGGCGTTCTTCCACATATCAGGGGTAATCGTTTGGAGTGCCTCTTGCCACATTTTTAGGCAGTCATTTTCAGTGTGGCCATCTCTTCCAATATGCCGATTATAGTAATTTTTTGCAGTCCCCCAAATTAGCTCAATTGGGTTAAAAATACAGTGGTATGGAGGTAACCGTAAAACTTTATGTCCATATTGTTCTGCCAAGTTATCGCCCACATACATTTTGGTTGGTTTATTCCTAAAAAAAAAATAAACGGGAACAACATGCATAAAGATTGGGTATTCTGCTCACTGTGCAACAATCGTTAGAAGTTCAGATTTGAATGCTTCATGTGGATACTGTATTTTTTGTTCAGTTAACCAATTCTGAATTTCAGCCTTTCTCCATGAGCTATTGGGAGTTTTTACTAATAACATGCTATGGTATGATGCATTATCCATAACAATCACAGAGGGTTGGGTCAAGCTTATTAGTAATTGATTTTCAAACCAATATAAAAAGTTTTGCTGGTTCATGTCACCATGGTAATCATTAAGCTGGGTTTTCGATGAAAATATGAGCGACGCACCTTCAACAAATCCATTTTCATTGCCAGCGTGAACTATGATATACCTACAAATGCATTTCATTTTTATATAGAGCTTATTTTTCTATACATTTGAAAGCCCACCTTTTTCCATCAACTTTGGTACTTCTAACACTTCGCTTGTCATTATCTTGCCATGAACGGTGAACGGTGCCATTTTGGAAAATCCAAGTCTCATCTAAGATGACAAACTGATAAATAGCCTCTTGTTTATTTTGTACGTATGATCTCAAAAAACTAACACGTTTAGATGCAATATTGGGAAGTTCTATAAGCCCTCGTTTGGGGTTATCTTTCTCCCATTTGAAGCCTATTTCTTCTAATAGTCTGCTTAACGATATACGACTGCCCTCAAATAATTGCTTAGCTTTTAATTGCTCCCACAAGCCAGACAGTGTTACATGTTGTTCTACAAAAAAACAATTATACATTCTCTAATTCAAAATATGTTTGTTGGGCAACTTACTGTTTTCATACATGTTGTAAATAGTATTACGAATACCACTTGTATTGAGCCTTGAAATATTAGTGACTCTCTTTGGAGTACATCGTTTTTTAGGAGGCGATTGTAAAACTTCTTTATTTTTGACTGCTTGTGAAATACCAGTTATAGTAGACACATTTAATTTCAATGCTGCTGCTACACGCTAAAAATAAGAAAAAGAAGATTAACCTTAATGTTCCTATTACTTATGCTATCAACAAGCGTAAACTCACCTCGCTTACAGCAGTTAAAGACAAAAGTGGGCCATTATTATCCCGTTAAGTTGTTTTGGCATTTTGGATACTTTACACCACTTCACACTACTACTATTCGTCATTTATTTGTCTGGGCGGTCCGTAGGACCTTTGCCCATTAGTCACTGTCTGATGTACGTTAGTCGAATCTGACAGTCCTGGTTGCCCAGAAACCAGACAAAGTCAAGGAAAAAGAGAAAGGGAAAGAGAAGAAAAAGGAGAAGAACAAAGAAAAACATATATGCTTAGTTTAAGAGGAAACACCTAGGCTTTTTGACTTGGTACACGGATTAATTTTGAGGTGAACTAAACAAATTTTTGATTCGGTTTTGTTAGAGTGTAATTTTGAGTTTACTAAAGATTCACGCGAACTTTTGATTACAGTGCGAGCCGTGGCCTTGAATGTTTACGAACTTGCTCCACTGTAGTCCACTGAGTCACGCAACAGAGGGTTGCTGTGCGATTCCGCTTGACTATAACGTCGCTGCGCCTGAAGCTTGAAATAATCCCTCAAGTAAGGAATGTCAAGGTCTCTGTGTAGTGTCTCATTTGAGACATACCATGGAGCGTTGCAAATTGTCCGCAAAGTTCTGCTTTGCAGTACTTGAAGACTTTGCATGCGTGTCTTGGCAAGAAAACACCAAGCCGCACATGCATAAGTAATGGCTGGTCTAATAATCATTTTATATAGTCGAACTTTGTTTATCAAACTCAATTTGGAGGATCTACATAACAAAGGATATAGTTGCCGAAACGCAATTTGGAATTTTGTTTTTATGGATGCTGTATGTGTCTGCCAGGTCATGCCTTTATCAAGGGTGACACCGAGATACTTGGCAGAATTTGTCCATGGTACACGATTTCCGTCTACAGAAACCTCTGCTGGGGGGCCGCGACGTTTTTTGGTACAATAAATAGCCTGCGTTTTCGAATGATTAATTTTTATCAGCCACCGTTCTGCCCACTCTAGAACTTCGTCCACCGCATTCTGCAACCCATCGTGAACCAGATCACCAGTACACGACTGGGCGACAAGTGCAGTGTCGTCAGCATAGAGCTAGACTTCACAGTTGCTGGGGGAAGGGACATCATGGATGAAAAGCGAATAAAGAATTGGTCCTAGGACCGAACCCTGAGGAACACCGGCCCGTACTCGCCGTGTTGTTGACAAAACATTGTTAATTTTGATCCGAAACTTCCTTCCTTCAAGAAAGGATTTCAGTAATTTTAGAAGCCAAAAAGGAAACCCCTTTTGGATTAGTTTATAGAGGAGGCCCGCGTGCCACACCTTGTCAAAAGCTTTTGAGACATCCAAAAGCAAGATGCCAGTAGTCATGCTAAGGGTGAACTCTCTGGTTACATGCTCCACCAGCCTGACTGCCTGTAGCTCGGTGCTATGCTCGGACCGAAAACCGAATTGGACGTCAGGAATCACATGGTGATTTGACGAAAAATTCTCAAGGTGACGATAAATCACCTTTTCGGCGAGCTTAGAAGGAGCTGACAGCAGACTTATGGGACGGTAATCCTGAGGAAATATCGAACCCACCTTCTTTGGAATCATGATAACCTCAGCAGTCTTCCACCCAGCAGGGAAGTACTGGATTTTGAGCGTCGCATTGATTATTGTCACCAAGTATGTCAGGGCTTTCGGCGAGAGCAGCTTCAACGTCTTGTTGGTGATTTGATCCTCCCCAGGTGCTTTACGCACCTTGAGGTCTTTAATATGACTTAGTAACTTCGCTGGTGTGCAATATGGAAACTCGGAGGGTTCCGCTAATGTGCTATGTGGAGCCTCAGACGAATCTTCTGAAGAAGAGTCATCTGAAGAGGATTCAGTGCCTCCGCTAACGCCGTTGGCCCTAAAATATCTCCTGACGGATCGTACGATGTGCTGTTCCTCGTCGAGGTCA